CGCAATATTGGCACTTTCTGGAAGGTTCTGGACTTTGATTCAATGTTGTATTTGTACCTTGCGTTTATGATCATGATGATACATCATGTAAATTAGTGTGTATGTATATATGTATGTGATATGTATATATGCATATACACATAGTGATTTATAGTAGTTGCGTGTTGCGTATATTCATACAAGTATATACGCACATGTATATGTACATGATATCTCTATATATATATAGATAAACCCGTATGATTGACCGACTCAGATAAATATGTGGAAATATTTGCATATTTGCATATATACACACTGGCATAAAGGCATATACTGCAACAATGGTACGTATGGACCTCATCTCAGTAGTTGTTGAAATCAAACCTAATTGGGGTAATATTATATATACTACATAGAGAGAGAGAGAGAACTGGGGTATCATGCACTTTCATGTAATGCATACCTTGTGGTTCAAGATGGGCTTCGTGTGAGCAGTCTTGTGACAGGACATCAGAAGGTGCGAGCGAATATGCTTCCGTGCGCGCCTCAGAGAAGGGAATTGGAAGCTGAGAGAAGCACCGTTCATTCACAATAGCCAGGCCTGGGCAACAAGGCCACCTTGCAGGCCCAACAATTGCAAATCCTCGCCTTGGCCGCGGTGGCAAAAACATGCTTACCAATGTCGAAGATTGGTCTGGAGGTTCAACATTGTGTTGTTTATCGTCAGGACCCACCGTGTTTGTTCGTGCCAGTGGCACTGCAACTGTGGGGCCAGGGCAGGGTTCTCAGTTTAAAAGTATTGAGCACGTCATAGCACGTCAGATCACAACATGGCACTGTGTTGCGCAGCCACTAACTTGAGGCAGTACTTGAGGCCACAAGTGCTGCAGCAGACGATCAGAGGCTTGCATTCGGTGGGTCAGATGCGTGAAACGAAATGACACTAGTGGCCGCTCCAGCCACTCTGGCTGAGTGGCTGAATGGCTGCATCAGCCACTCTGGCACAGCGGCTGAGTGGCTGAGTGGCTGCGGCAGTGTCATCAATCAATGAAATGGACGGATAAAGTTTTAAACATTTCAATGCCCAAGCAAGAGTATATGACATTGACAGCAACTTGATTTACAAACATAACCCTGTAAACTTCAACTGCCATAGCTACATAACTCCAACGGATTGATTAAGAACAGCCACATATACACTTTGAACCATAACCTGAAATCACTAAAAAAAAGAGAGTGGTGATGAACTCTACATGTTCAGGATTGGAAACAACTATTACAACGACTATTTGGTGAGCAAAGAATGGCTATGGTGTGCTGTAACCAGAGCAACAGATTTCAATAATGTATATTTTTTCAAAAATGATAAAGCCGACGAAGATATGTTTAAGAATTTGGTAGTTAACTATTTTAAAAACAAGGTTGAAGGTCACAAAGGACAAGGCACAGAAAAGGAGGAAGAGAAATAGTTGATGAATACATTGATGAACATGTTTGAAGATGTTCAAGGGTTGTTGTGCAAATTGTGGAGTTAAAATTAATCTTGATACCAGAGGTGGCAAAGTGTCAAGTAACTTTACGGCGCAGAGAGGTGATAATGGACTGTGCCATTCTATTGACAACTGCGAGGCTTATTGTTGCCACTGCAATTCTTCTTCACATAAGATTTTTTCAAAATAATAAACTTAATAAAATATTGATATGAGTAAGCAAGAAATCATAGGAAACATATATTTTTATAAAGCAGGGTTTGGTTCCAAAAACACTACTTTGAAGGATGCAAGAGAGAAAAACAAATCTATTACTATGAAAGATGTTGAAGATTTTTTGTAGAGATAAAAATGAACCCGAGAGGCTATAACAGCTTTGTTGTTCCACATAACAATCATAGATACCAAGTTGATATATTCTTTATTTCCAAAAAAAAAGGTAAAACAAAGATACAGAGCTGGATTAGTCTGTATTGATTGTTTGAGTAAGTATGTTGTCGTAGTCCCAGTAAGAAGGAAAGAGGCAGGCAGTGTTATTCATGGAACAAAGAAAGCGATAGAGAAGATGGGCAAGAAACCTGAAATCATATACACCGACGACGAGAAAACTATAGCAAGTGGTGAATTCCAAGCGTATATGTAGAAAGCGAAGGCTGAATTGTATAGGACAAGAGACCACCCTGCTTTTGCCGAGCGTTTTATAAAAACTTTTAAAGACAAATTATGCAAAAGAGTTGAGAACGATGAAAAGAATAAAAAAAACGAATATACAATGGATAGACTACATAGATGAAATTGTGTTAACTTACAATAATAAAGATGTGCATTCCGCTACTGGTCAAACACCGTATAAAGCCAGAGGTACAGACAATGAATTCAAGTCAAGATTAAATATTGCAATGAAAGCAAAGAAACAGAGGCTCTATCCTGAACTATCTGTGGGAGACAAAGTAAAAATCAAAAGGAAGAAAGCAACAACGGAGAAGGAGAGAACCTCACACTTTTTGAAAGGTGAGTATGCCGTAGAGTCCATTGATGAAAAATTGAATCAAACATATTATACATTAGAAGGATACAATAGACCACTATTGAGGCATGAATTGCTGAACATATAAATTACCATTTATAGGAAATCTACTTAAAGGAATATTATATCTATATCTATATCTATATCTATATCTATATCTATATCTATATCTATATATCTATATATATATATATTAGCGAAGTGTCATTCAGTGACACAAGTAGTGAACGTGAAATCAACCAAGAAGAATACATCAAACAAAAAATCTTAAGCTGTAAATGTAGTGAATATGCAACAATAAAATGAATTATCAAAAATAATTTTACCGATGGTATTGGTAATAAAATTTGTGAATATGTAGCCTGTAAAAGTTGCTCAAATATAATGAGTCATTTTGATTCACTTGAAATTGATATTAACCCTTGTGACGATGATGATATTGATGAACAAATTCAAATATACGTTTATAATACTTTAGTGAATGAAATTCCAGATGATAAAATGAATTTAGTATTAAATGAAAAAGAAATGAGACATTATCAAGATTATGGACAGGGATTTAAAAAATGTTGTAACAATTCATATTCGACTGTTGCATTCTGCATGTTAGAAATGAATATTAATGATGCTGATTGTATGGATGATAACTTTAATCATGAAACCTCTATAGATTGTTAATATGTTGTATATCAAAGACAATGAACAGTTTATTGGAAATACAATTATTGACGAGAATAAGTTTGACAAAGTGTACGAAAGAATACACCAAGGAATTTGTATTTGAACCCCGTAAAATTTCATATTAGATAATATGAAATTTTATGATATAAGGAAATGCACTTAAAATTAAAAGGATAATACCTTATAATAGTATGGAGAGTAGAAAGTGCACAAAGTGTAAGAAAAACAAAAATGGTGACGAGTTCAATGGAATGAATAGAATGTGTATTGAATGCTTGGACAAACAAAAAGAGAGTAACAAAGTATATAATCAAAAGGAAGTATTCTGCGACATTTGCCAACGGAATGTGAAACAATGCAGGTTGTCCAAACACCTTAAACCCGACAGGCATTCCAGCAAGGAAAAACTCAAAAAGGAAGAGAAAAAACACAAATATATGGAGGAATACTTAAAAGATGATGAAGCCAGAATTGCAAAATTGAAACAAATCTGGAAAACCATTGCACCAAAAAAACTTTAAAACACTTTAACCCCATAATTTTTCATATCATAATATATGAAAATTTATGATTCGAACATAGGAATGTTAGACGTGGATGATTTAGATTTATGATATTATTTTATAATAATATATTATGATAAAATATTATGATGAAACTTTATGATATGAATTTATGTGATGATGGATGATGATGAAATGATGTGGGATGATGATGTATGAAATTATGTGGTTTTAATTTGTGTTGATACTGTGATGAAATGATATGAACTGTTGTGAAAATGAACTGTGGTAAATGATGAAATGATGGAGGTGGATGATATGACCTTAGGTGTGTTTGTGTCTAGCTATCTATCTATCTATATATATATATAATTTCTTTAATAACATACATATATGAAAACATTGGAACTATAACCAAATGTCTCATTCCTTTCGCCATGATGACCCGCAGGGACCCACAGAGCGAACCCCTTTAACACAAATGACTAATGACTTCTTTCTCACAACCCTTTAACACAGATGTTTGCCTGTTTGCCTAAGATTCCATTCAACCCATAAGAATATATGCCCCAGTGCCTGGATGAATAAAGGAAGGGGCCCTAAATTAGCATAAAACCTCACTTGAGATACTGCCCAGACCTAAGAAAAATTAGGTCTGGGTAATATTGCTTTCACTCCAATGGCTCTCCAGCCACTCAGCCACTCAGTCACTCAGAATGGCTCAGTGGCTGAGTGGCTGCGTCAGCCGCTCTGCCAGAGTGGCTGAGTGGCTGAGTGGCTGGTCCAGCCTCTCTGGCAGAGTGGCTGAGTGGCTGAGTGGCTGCTTCGATTTCGCGAGCCGTGTTGCACATCCACTCTTATAATAGGATATAATGGATATATATATATATATTTACATATATATATATGTATGATGATGATATAATGCCGATATACAGTACTGGTTTGTTTCTACAAGTCCATGCTATGCTGAGGCTTCCCTTGATTTGGAGCTTGTACTGGCCATTTTGGATCAGCTGCACGTTTCACCAAATAACCCATAGCCGCAGTGTCGATACGCATTATTGTCAAGCTTGATGCTTTGGAACTTTTCCAGTGAAAGAAACAGTTACACCTAATCCCAGGTGTCAACTATTGGTTCTTTCAACGATTGAAAAATGTCTCAAATCAGAACTTGTCCATCAGTTTGTGCCCAAACCCATGCCTTTTTGGCGTCTGCTGGCCTTAGCGCCACTTTTTGCAGACGCCTTGGATTGCAGTGATCGCTCAGATCCCGTGGTGGCCACCTGCTGCGATGCTCAAAGTGCCTGGTTTTCCATGGAAGCTGCAGGTGGTTGCGGTGGTGAAGGTGCCACAGATAACCACTGTGCCCATGCAGCGGAGCTCTGCCAACGTTGCAGAGCTGCTGTAGATGGAACGGAGAAAGATGGAGATCCCTTGTTGGATCAGAAGTTGTCATCTTTAGACATCGGATTTTTGGAAATGACCTGTGTCTTACCCCAGTGGAGCCCCTGTGGGGTGACACCTACCGACGACACCATGCTGCCGCTGTTGGTGGCTGGTGCCCTGCTGTTTCTGTTGACGCTGGGCCTGGTGATCTTCGATCGTCGGGTGGTGCCGTGCGTCATCGGCAAGCGCTTGACGGAGGAGGAGAAGTGCAAGGCAGTGGACGAAGGGGCGACGAGTCTGGGGCAGTCTGCTCCCCAGCCCAGGTTGGCAATCGCCCAACATCTCCAGCCCAGGTGGTGATGATATGTCGATGTCTAGGGATTCATTGTTTGAGGCTTCCATGAATGAAATCTGCCTTGATGAAGCGTGACCCGCTAGATTTGGGACTGAGCTTCTTTCAAACTTGCTGAGGCCACATTTGGTGCCAAGTTCAGGCCTGGGATCCCATCAGAGTGTTGTCTTCAGATATCTTAAAGCATACCTGGCATACCTGAGTTCTTTGGGTCAGAAATTTAGTTTTCCCAAATTGGGGGGTAATCATAAAAATGATGGAAGAATATATGACTTCCCAGCTGCTGCGATCAGTTGCGGATCCTGCTTTCAACTCCTGCGGGCCTGACACAGCAGATTTGGGGGTCACCTACCTCAAGAACACATTGTGCATCCCAATAGGGTGCAAATTCCAAACGAATGTCATGAATTTATTGATGACTTGAAACAATTTTTGATGGTTGACAATTCTCCTTAATCTACTGGTAACTGGTAACATTCCAAATTTTCTATGGCCAAGGTATTTTAAAACACCCAAAAAGAAGGCCCCGTAAAACACCGCACCTGGCAGCTCTCCGTTCTCTCCGCAGATGCGCTCCGTTTGGCCGCCGCTATGCCCATGGAGAACATCCAACGCACGAGCTTCGGCAATGCACGAGGTGCGCTGGGGAGCTCCGCAGAAATGGTTGGATCTGTTAGTTTGTTAAAAAGAAAACAGATCCAACACTGTAGTTATAGATTAGTCTATTGATTTTATTGTTGGTTTAGTGGTGATTGGTGAGTTTCTTGATATTTCTTGATTTTTGTTTGGGGTATTGAATTTTGGTCCTGCTGTAGTGCCTATAGGTGATGTACTTTTGAATGGCGGAGTTTTCCCACATCACCAGCCATTCTTGGGATATTCTCGAGACAAAAGGGGACCTCAGTGCTCCATCAGTCAGCAAAAATTGCACTTTAGTTGGGGAAAGATTGATAAATCGCTGGATTTTTTTAAAGACAAAGTTTGTCTGAGAAGGAATTCCAATGGATTCTTATTTTCAAATTGACATCAGAAACTTTGGAATACCACTCTGTGGCACCACACATCAGTTATACCATGTTATACCATGTTATATCCATATTGCTACCCCCTCAACCAGGCCGCGCCCTGGTTGCAGCCCTTTTTGGGACCATCTTTTTACCGGTCTCTACTGTGGCCGTGTTGGCGCGCGTGGCGCTGATTATCGCCTACCAAATGGCGTTGCCAAGGCAGGGGATGAACCGACTGTTTTTCTATATATTCTGCTTGGTGGTTTGGAATATAGTGGTTAATAGTGATGGTTTTTATAGTGGTTAAAGATGGTATAAACCAACAACAATGGGAATATGATGGTTATATTCTGGTTGGTGGTTTGGAACATGAATTTCATTTTCCCCAATAGTTGGGATGATGATCCAATTTGACTTTCATATTTTTCAGGGGGGTAGGTATACCACCAATTAGTATTTCTATGATGTTGTATCCAATCTTGGAACCCGGAAGCAATAAAAAGAAGATATGGTTTCCGGCGGATTGTCGGGACATTGTTTCGGGAAACCTCGACCTTTGATGCAAAAAGACATGGGTTTTCTGGAGCCTGAATTTCATTGAATGGGTACTACCACTACTTAGCAGCCATCACTACCCCAGTAGTACTATGGTCTTATATCCCACTTGAAAACCCGTAATTAGGTCTAGTAAGCACTGCATATTGAGCACCATTATCAATCATTGTTAGTCCTAGAGAAAAAACCATGGGATACACTGCACAGATAAATTAGTATATTGATTTAAACAATGGTGAGTTACTCAGTTACTCATGGGATATACCCTCTGGTAATTTAACATAGCTATTGAAAATAACCATTTTTAATGGGAAAATCCACTATTAATGGCCATTTTCAATAGCTATTTTGACATAACCAGAGGGTATTTTTTTTTGTTCGGCTTCTGCAGCCGGTCGACTACTGGGATCCACCACCATTGAGGCAACTTCCAGTGGCTCGAGCCGTGTTGGAGCTGTTTCTGGCGCTGGTTCCCTTCCTATGGTGTGCTGGGGCCCTGTGACGAACTCGACTGGGATACGATTTTGAAAAAACAGTCCCAAGAAATCGACAGGAAGATGATGGTGCCACACAAAATCAGATTTGTCCATCTTTTTTTTGGCATTGATTTCCAGTTTTTTTGGTTTCTACTTTGAGGACAGGTAAACCATCGGCGAAACCTGCCAAAATACTGAGAAAAGCATTGAACCCAAGTTTGAAGATCTTAAAACTAATGGGATTCAGCTGCCCCAAGGTCTGTCCAGTGCGCTCTGCCAGTGCAGCGCAAGTGGCTTTCTGTGGACCAGGGAGTAGGCCTGAGATGGGCCAAAGCTTTGATGCCCCAAAGTGGATGAAGATAGGCTGTCCCTAAATTTGGAACCATGGTTAAGATATGTTAAGATTCTCTGCCCTGCTCTCCTCTATCCTTCTCTACTCTACTATTCCTCTTCTAGTCTACTCTTCTCTACTCTTCTCTCCCCTCCTCTACTCTTTTTTACTCCTCTTTTGATTTCTCTCCTTTCAAGGCCTGGAGTTTCTCTATGAAGCTTCTTTTTGATAAATCAGCCCTGTGTGACTAAACTTTGAACAAGAGCAACCAAATCAAAGCACAAGTAGCAGCCAGGTATCTGTGCATCACAAGTCTTCTACAACCGGCGTGGTCGTTCCAGTAGGGGCTTTCTGATATGCGACAAAGAGCATAGAGTCATGGGCACAGGTCAGCTTTAAAAACAGACGGTGGCTAAGGCTAAAACCATAGGAATCGCTGCGGAGTTTACTTTAGGTGTTGTGGTCGCAGATTGAACATGTTCGCTGCAAACCCTAGGTTTGCCCGCGGCGAATCCCGCATATCCTTTGACATGCTCAAATCCCAGCGTAGGGTTCATTTGTTTTTACTTTCCAAAACAACAAACCCCAAAACCCTAAAACCCTAAACCCTAAATTAAAACCCGAACACTTGAAGTCAAAATCACTCCGTATAGCCAGTGTTTTCATTCATCCTCCGGTGATAAGTGTGGGCGAACCCGAGGTTTGGAGGGAACATGTTTTTCAGACTTCGTTTTTGCGTCGTAGACATGGTGCGCAGTTTACAAACCAATCTTTCTTCAAGAACTTGAGCTTCTTCCAACGATTCCTGTTCCTTTCAAAGATTGAATTTGATGAACATCACGGAAATTCCTGCTCAATAATCTGCGCAATTGACAAGAGCATGTGCTTCGACCAGAGAGACAGGGCTTATGAAAAAGCTGCGTTTGATTAACGCATGATGCCTGGAAGTTCCGAATAATGCCACACCACTAAAGCACAGATTTTCCAGGGCCAACTTTTCGGGTTTGCTTCGAAACTCGGTGTCCCCAGCGTCGTGAGGCTTCGCAACCATCCCAGTTATCTCCCGCTGCGCCCCACATCTTGGTAGTTCAAACCGAAGATTTCGGGGACACCTCCCTGAAATCTTGTTTTTGTTAAATGCATCCAACGTAAGCTTACGCATATATTTGTCGGCTAGACTCAGATTTATTTTCGCTAAATCCATCTTCAGTGTCAGAATTTCATATCAAATGGGGAAGCACCATATTATGAGTGTGTAAAAGGATGTTAAACACTTGAAATTCCAGAGTTCATGTTCAGTTTTTTTTAATCCTTTCCGATGTTAACCCCTTTTCAAAAGAACCCCCCGCATGAGCAAATCCAAATCATGCCAACCCACTAGGTTTGGTTTGGGGAGTTGTGAGGAGATCGGATGATCATCCTCCAAAACCCCCCGGAAAACCACACGGCGACGGCAGGTGTTTTTTGAGTGAAATCGTTTGATGGGATGATGTCTATCCAGCTAACTCAACATGTCAAGTGGAGGAAGAATTACTGTAGAACGGTCGCCAGGTGTCAACGCTTCAGTTCTTTTGCGCTGGTGACAGTAGCAGCAGAGATGCAGCTTGGCGCCAGTTGTGCCAGTCGTGTTGCTTCATCAACTGGGTCCATGACTATGCATGGGTGTGCCTGAACATGTAGTATACACCAAAACAGCCAGTTCCAGTGGGACAATGTTGAGAAAAAATGAGAGAAATTGGGGAACCAGTTGTGGCTTAGGAATCCACAGGATGACAGCAGAACGTTGGTTTGATACCCGGCCTGGTAAACATAGAAGAAACTATGGAAAGATCCACCATGCTATTAATGGGAAAATCCACTATTTCGACTGGGCCATGGTTTCAATAGCTATGTAACAAATTACCAGAGAGTAGAAACATTGTTTTTGGTGGACATCTTCAAATCCATGAATTGGATAAATCTGTGAATATTAGACTATCCCAAGGAATCAGGTATATCTAGGGAAACTTAGGAAATACAGCCAATGATGTGTAGCTGGTCCCAGTTGGGTCAGATCGGCTCCCATCGGTGTGAACCCACTCCTACAATTGATTGGATTGTCTAAGTATTTGGAAGAAGGCGCTAAGTTTTTGGTGAGTGAATTATTTTAGTTTATGCAGACCATTATACTTTATCATTATTGCCCATCATATCCTCATATAAGGGTTGCTCTATTTCATATCTATTTTGTTTTCGGGGTTGATTTGTTTTAAGTATATAGATAGTTAGACACATTTAATCTATCCAAACCAATATTTTGTAATACCAAGGATAATCAATAACAATAGTAATAACCAAAGTATTAATGATAAGAACAAATAAAAACACAGTTACATAATTAGCTTTCGTATCGTAACCCGCCCAATCATAATATGATAAATATGGAAACTCACAGATTAGATTTTGATCTATCCAAACCACTTGAATCAATAGGAAGAAGGAAGAAGGAAGAAGGAAGAAGGAAGAAGGAAGAAGGAAGAAGGAAGAAGGAAGAAGGAAGAAGGAAGAAGGAAGAAGGAAGAAGGAGGAAGGAGGAA